TTAACCTATAAATATCAAAACCTGACGCGATGTTATTAACGAAGCTCATAAGTTATTTTAGTTGACAAAATGTTAGTTTGATTGAAAAAATATTCTAATAAATAGCACAACACTGGAAATAGTAGAAGAATATTTTGGGACAACACAGCTCGGGATCTCTACTACAAGAAACGAACAGAAGAATTAAGCTGGTATGGAGTAGTTATGGAATAAACTCAATAATACTTAAATATAGAATGCCACTCTATCTAAAGAAGAAAACATTCGACCGATGTGTACTACCAGTCATGACGTATGCATGCGAAACCTGGACATTTAAAATGGACGTTATAAGGAAACTGCAGGTCGTACAAAACTCAATAGAACGAAATATGCTAGGAATAACCCTAGCGGGATTAAAGTGGCACAAAATAGAAAGAAATGGCTAGAGTTAAGGGAGGCTGTTGTTCAGCAGTGGACGGAATAAGCTAAATAATGATGATGATGATGAAAATATTTTGAATTTTAATTTAAATATGACTGTTGTGAATTTTATGGAAGATCATATTATTTTATATTAAATTAACTGACAACAAAAACTGCTTCCAGTGTATTTTTAATGACTTCATTATGAAAAATGAAAAATCGTTGTTTTGAAAGTTACATACAAAACAGTGTGTATTTATTTCTAATAAATGCTCCGCGTTAATTGAACCTATTAATTATGAAATAATTAGAGAAATTATTCGTTGAATATTGAAAATAATAATAAACGATAAAATTACAGACCACAACACATTATAACTACCTACCAATATCAACATTGACTAGATTTATGCCGTATTTAGTGGCTAATTTACTTACTGTAAACAAAGAAATGCAGTGGCGTAGGTAGCACAGAAAACACCTTTTATGACAAAGAAAATATTTTTTTCAAACGTCACAAAAGTACTAATTTTTGCGACGTCAATGACAATATAAAAAAGTCATTTTTACGTCTAGGCACAAAAGTAAAGCACTTTAAAATGACCTCACTTTTGTAGGAAAAATAAGTGGAAACATCGCACGCCTATGACGACTAATGAATTATTTTTTCAATTTATTTGTTCATATCGCCAAGGTCGAATGGATAGCCATCGAACTAAACACAAACAAAAGAAAAAATTAATGATAAGTTCGTTAATTATAATATTTTTGGACAGTAAATAAGTTTACGATTGTTCCTGTCAGGATATGTAGTCGGAGAGGTCAGTTATCGTATTTGGGGGATCGTATGAATAATTTCGGAATAAATAACTTTCCTATTGTTTAACTACTTATTCAAAAAACAATCAATTTAGCATTAAATCGTTTAATTATTGAGGTGAAAGAATGTTTGAAGTCCGAATCGAGCAAGAGACTTTTTAAATTTTTAAATTTAGAAAGTTAGGTCATAATTTTAATAATAATCTTCTTCTTCTTAATCTTCTACTTATTTGAGATCTAGTCGATCTGTTAGTTATAAGGTTGCTTCTGTAGGAGTTCTTGGGAGATGGACTGCCAACTGTATCGATCTTTTTGGAGGTCTCTTACTCATGGGTTTCCCTTCAAGAGCTAATATGCGTGGTAGCCCGTTTTCTTCCATGTGTTTTACGTGTGCGTACCATTGTATTTTTCTTTGCCTACCCCATCTCACTACGTCCTGTCATTGTTGTCTGATATTAGTGTTTCCAATTATGTCTCTTCTAGTCTTCCCCATTATGGTTTTTAGGTTCCTCATTTCAGTAACTCTTAACATGCTTTTGTTTTTGTTTTTTTTTCCTTGGATTTCTATGCAATATGTCATTATGGGTCTGATATAGGTTCTATAAATTTTAATTTTGCTGTCTGTTCGCATGGGGAAGGGGTTTGTAACACTATTTGCCTCAGACATCCTGACATGGCCGTTGCTCTGGTTATTTGGCTTCTCAGATCTTTCTCTGGATCATGGTAGTACGATATATCTATTCCTAGGTACCTAAACTGTGATACTTGCTCAATAATTTTGTTTTCTACTACCAGTTTGCATCTTACCGGCTCTTTAGAGAACCTTGGCCCAGAGGAAACAATTAACAAAAGATGTTATCGTGGAGACTATAATAAAAAAGAAGAAAGAATTTATTGGGCAAGTCTACAGTAAGATTGGCCATGAAACATGACTACCCATAGACACTGACGCTCAGAGCAACCAGGCTGCAAATGGCGCCTTGTGCATCGTTTGCTTCCCTTTTTCTTTTTTCAGAATCAGTAGTTCATCGTTACTGATTCCTCCCGTATTGATGAAACCGGAAGGCAGAAACACTGAGTGTCAGTGTCTACGGGTAGTCATGTTTTAGTCATGTTTCATAGCTAATCTTACTCTGGACTTGCCCAATAAATTCTTTCTTCTTTTTCATATTAGTTTATACATTAGATCATTACATATTATATATTTGCTTTAACAGTCTCTGGTTGAAAATCGACCACCACTCCCCAAAAATGCTATTAAGATATATGCTCCCTTTGTGTTAGTTTATATATTTTTGAAAATTATCTCTATAAAGGATTAAAATGAGTCCTCATCAATGCTTAAAAATGAGAGATTCTCAGTAGCGGAGGATTAGGTAGCGATAACAAATTAATAACTAGCATTAATAAAAAATATAAACAATTATTAATTATTGTAACGTGAGGCAAGCATCAGCTTATTAGTATATTAGTATTCGATGATGGCCATCATGTTACAAATAACAATCAGACAAAACCCTTGCGTATTAATGTCCAAATAACGCCCTCGGTACATAAATAATTATTATGATTATTGCTAATTTATCAACAAACCAAAAATTATTAAGTTTGTATAAATGTTCACTAATTTAATACTTTTCTGTGTGGTTAAGTACACAATCCATAAATTAGATTAAATTGTTTGATGTACCAGTTAATGTATTTATTATCAATATTACCAGTTCGTTCTGCGTATACAAATAGAATAAGAGATTAACAATTTATCAATATTTATTTACGTAGAGTATGAATTTGTGGCATTAAATTACCTAAACCTAGAAACGATAAATACTTATATTAAATTTCATTAAACGCAATACTAAATAAATATCTAAAACCGAATCATGTTTTAATTTTTGCGTGTATTTATATAAATTTAATTAAAAATTATTGAAAGGATTTTAAGATAAATTTTGTATTTAATATTATTTTGTTCTCTCTGTTAGTTTCATTAATTTAATTTTAGCTTGGTAACAGTTTGTGTTTGATTAAAATTATTGCATATAGATAAAATAGAACACTAATTCACCACAATACACCAAAACACTCTTACTTTTGCAGTGGATGCGTGTTTCATTCGCTGACGATTATAAAATGATGAGTTAGATGATTGTACATTTTCATTTAACATTAAATTACCTAAAATCTCTATTGTATTTCATGGTTGTTACCTATAAAAGGTATAGAGAATTTGGGCAATAAGTGACTTTGAAAATACTATAATATACAGGGTGGTCCGAACTGTATTCGGAAAACTTCGGCATAATATTCTGCAGATAAAAATAAGTGAAAAGGTTCGTATAAATGTATGTCCTAAAATGCTTAGTTTCGGAGATACAGGGTGTAGAAGTTTCATTTTAATTTTGATTTTTTCCAAATAATTCCTGAAGTAACGTCAATATTTTGATGATAATTGGTGTCTGGGAGTTTTTTGACATGAGAAATTTGATTTCGATGTCAATATGACTCCTACTTGTAGAGGGCGAAACTTACATATTTTAACTGGTTTGAAGAGTAATAGTTTCATCTTCTTCCAGTGGTTAATTTTTTTGAATATTTAAAAGGTTCTCTTTGGTTTATTTTGTTATAATAAGTTCAGTATGATTTAGTTTTTGTGAGTTGCAAAGTTATATTTTTTTAATTTTGAATAAGGGCAACGGCCGATCTACGTTGAAACACCGGTTCCCATTAGAACACCGAAGTTAAGCGACGTAAGGCGATACTGGTGGATGGTCGGGTGACCGGTTCGAAACTCTGTATCGTGCTGTTGTCCAAGGGAAAAGTGTAAAATCTATTGATACACACTGCTCATTCACGCCGGTTCGAGGCCGGATGAGATCGGATATCTCGTGAATAAGAGTTAATTTAAGTCGGTAGGCCACTGACCATGATATGGCTGAGGACCGCGGTTCGGATTAACAAAGTAGGCCAAAGTTCGCGTAAACAAAGTAGGCCCCGTCCAGATTAGCCCTGACAGCAAAAAGGAGACGTTAAGTTTTCATATTTGTTAATAAAGTAAATATGTATTAAAAATGTTGCTTGTTACTGTTTATCATGCTAAATTTGACAATGAAATATTTTAAATTAGGTACATAAAATAGGGGGGTTAAATAAAACACGTTGACAAAATAGTTATTAGACTGAAATCGTAAATTTGCAATATTTTTGTGCCAAAAGTTCAACAGAAACTGTTTTATCGTCATATTTTGGAAGAAAAATTTATGATTAATTTAAAAAAATAAAAAGTTTCCAAAAATGAAATCTTGAGAACGGTTGCTCGTAACGATTATGGACATTTATTACGTAAAAAATCACGGAAATGTATATTTTTTTACTCACCTGTTTGATACAGGTACGAACAAAATGTTATTACTAATCAAAACAGTTAAAACACATGTAGGTGGCGCCACCTACAAGTAGGAGTCATATTGACATTAAAATCAAATTTCTCATGTCAAAAAACTCCCAGAAACCAATTCTCATCCAAATATTGACGTTACTTCAGAAATTATTTGGAAAAAATCGAAATAAAAATAAAACTTCTACACCCTGTATCTCCGAAACTAAGCATTTTAGGATATACGTTTATACGAATTTTTTTACTTATTTTTATCTGCAGAATATGATGCCGAAATTTCCGTAATACAGTTCGGACCATCCTGCATATTTCAATTTGGAATTTCAGTTTTTTTCATAAAAATCACAAATTTTGATGAATATTTTTCTTCTTTTTCCAGTGGCTGTCGTTGTGGCATTCTTCATTTGCTGGGCACCGTTTCACGTGCAGAGATTATATTCTATCTACGCCACCTTTCCGAAGCCAGATGAGAAAACTCACTCCCTCTATCTGCACATCTACGAACTAGTCACGTACATCAGTGGTGTTTTGTACTACGTCTCAGCTACAACGAATCCCATCCTGTACAGCATCATGAGCGTGAAGTTCAGGGAAGCATTTAAGGTAATAGTTATTTTTTATACAAGACGATAATGCAATTTTATCGTCGTGTATAAAACAATATTTTTTTCCATAGCAAGTTACGTTTTAAAAAATATTCAGAAATTATTATTTCAAGGAATTTATTACGAGTAGCAAAAATATTGTGCTGGGTTGGCGTTGGTTTCTATGTAATTTGACAAATAAATAAAGCTGTCTCTTTAGTTGTCAGTTTTGAGTCAATACTTTTTAATTCTCTTTCGTGTCGATTGCTGATTGAATTGGAGCCAGAAATGGCTCAAAACGAAATAAGTAAATTACCAACAGATATTCAGGCTGAGGCGACAAACGCCATATCCAAACTTCTTCCATTTCAATCCCGAATAACTTATGAAAAGGAATACAAACATTTTCAAAAATGGAAGCAATTAAAAAACGTGCGAGAAGAAATAAAGTTTTTAACCTATCCTCGCTCTTAAAGAATCATTTCATCTACCCTTGCGGTTAAAGTACTATTTTATCTACTATTTTTGATAGATATAAGGCAATTTTAACAGTTGCTATGGAAAAAAACAATAAAATATTTTCTATATGTATAATATCTACTGAAACCATTTTCTTCTCATTTTAAATCAAGTTTTATGATGTACCAAATTCCCAAGTATTGATTTTTGCAATTTTCAAGATGCCGTTCGACTCATTTGCCAATTTCGTGAATCAGGCTGGCTTTTTGTTATAGTTTATGATAGTATCAAATGATACGTTAAATTTCAAGCATGGAAAAATAAAGGTGTCAAAATCTGTCAAATTTTTGCATGACTTCTAGTCAAACAGAACTGTCAAAGATCCCCACCCTAGGGAACCTCATCCGTCTGCCATGCAGAAATACATGGACAGCATTATACTCCTCTCTTAATCGTTTTATTCAAAGATAAAGAATAATATTTCAACCACACGTTTGGTAACCCTTTGCTAAAAAGCAAATGGCATCCAGCAAAGCATTAAATCTCTATTTTATATTTGTTTCTATACTCTCATTATTTCTCCTTTGTACATATAAGTTTTGAGGCATTATGGTTCATTATACAAATTATGGTACTTAATACTCAACAAAGCAAATTAAATGTACTGTCCCTTTATAAATAATCTGCACGATTAGTATGCTTCCTTAACTGCATACGTAATTACATTGCAATTACACTAATTTACGCCAAACACATTCATATGCTTTGGTGATTCTCAAAACACTTATTGGACTGTTACCAATTAATGCAGCACATGGTATTTATTATGTAGGAACATATACAGAGTGTTTTAAAATAAATATCACAACATCTTCCAACAAAAAAGGTATTGAGATGAATCAAAAAATAAACTATCGAGAAAAAAGTCAACTTAATGATAAAATGCTAATAAAAAAAATATTAAAATCGGCCAACTACAACAAAAATTATTAAAAAGAAATGCGATAGGATAATGAAAATAAATATATAATAAATAATAGCACAAACTCGTTACATTATTTCATGTTCTTTAAATTTGTAAATATTACGGATTTGTATGAGACATCACTGTAATTTAGGGTTGCTAACCGTCCTCTATTTCCTCTTTTTTTGACCTCACTGTCCTCTTTTCTCTCACTCATTGAAAAAGTCCTTTTTTTACATGTGTTTATCGCCACAATGCTATAAAAAAAATTAATCTGTGGCTTTTGTTACTCCCACTCGTTTGTACAGAAAAGAACATGAAGAAATATTTATGTACAAGAAATACTTGTAGAAGCGATAAAGATGTTTGACTATTTTATGTTTATTTACTCTTAGTTTTATGAAAGTATGAATTATGTTTTGAAAAAAAAGTTTTGGTGAAAATGATTTGTTTTATTTTAACAAATTTTGAGTATAAAATTTTTAAGAAAGGAAGAAAGATCATACCGTTGACATAACTTTTTGGCTAATACCGTAGTATAAGGAAACTAGTAGATTTACTCCTTGTCAAATCCTTTGTTCTTTTTCTGCCACTTTATATGACCTTGTTCTCGCCTCCCGTGACCACTGACGTAGCTGTATAGTCGTGGTCTATTAACTAGGCAAAGTATAGTCGTGGCACTCGCCATAGTTTCACAGATATGTATTTAGGAAAATATGAGTTCACAATAAAATAAAATAAAAAAATTGATCATCGGCACACTGCGGTGTTGCCATTCTATTTCTTGTTTATTATAACTTTGGTTAAAAACATTATACCTATACGAAAAGTAGTAAAAAACTAGAGTGAATGTAACTTTATTAATACTTAGTTTTCTTAAACATGAAGGATACCAGAATAAATTCGTGTAGAAAAATTTACTTTATCGTATACAGGATATTTCTTATGGCGTCACCAAAATCGTAATATTTAAAATGTTGTATCTCATTTTTTTTTAAATGCAACACCTTGTATATTATTTTTCTTTCAGATGTAGAATTAATCTAAAAAACTATTTTTAAAATCTGCCCACATGCTAAAAAAATAATAACATTTAATTAATTACATAATATCTCAGCTTCTAAAATAAACAAATATAATTAAATGTTTATTGATAATTACTATCAGGTTACCGATTTCCATCCGATGGAAATCTAAAAAAACTCAAAGAACAATTTTTTGAATTATTACTACAATTAATAGCAGCACACAGTAAGGCACTCATTTTTTGTCAATCCATCTCTGTGCTGGGACGCAACGCTCGAACCTCGCAGCGGTATTCAACTGAAACGCTTTGCAATCTGCCGATATTCGACAGCTTGCAAAAACTGGCAGAAAATATTTGCGAGAGTGCAACTACTCTTTTCCTTAAACTATGCTAATACTAAACATTTGGGCGATGTTTCAAAAAATGTTTCGTCTGTTCCTCTTTTTTACCCTCTGGTCGTCTATTTTTTATTTTGGAGTTGGTAATCTTACTGTAATTTAACTTACAGTTAGAAAAAGTTAACCCCATAAAATATAATGTGATAGTCAAAAAAAATGTCTCCTTGTGATGATTAAAAATTATTATAATCTAAAGCTGTACAAGTCTCTAAATCACTCCAAATGATCCATTTTTCTTTTGTCAGCTTAATGATAGAGTCAATTAAAACCTTTTATTTGGGCCTTGTGGTAGGGATTGGGAAAACAAAGCACGGAGTGTCAAAAAAAGGGCAAATTTAAAAATTAGCCAGATTTAATAAAGGATGGTCGTTTTTTTTTCACTCCCTGTAGAAATTTCAAATTTAGGAGGAGAATAATAATTGAATGGGGTCGATTATCTTTTTTTCCTGGTTAAAATTAATTGAAAAATATGCCATTTTTTCCTGTTAATAAACCTCGGAGATTGTGTGCCTACAAATTAAAAATTAAAAAAGAAATCTTAATCGTTCAAATAAGGGTTGATTATTAAGATGTATTTTTTTATCATTTACCTAATAGTTAACTATAATAAAATCATTAAAAAGGATAAAAATATGTAAAAAATTACCTTTTAATCTTTACTATGTAATTTTTAAAATAACATTTGCTTTCCGATTTTCTTTTTGTGTATACCGGGTGCGCTTCAAAAGTGGTTCGCTCCTGTAACTTTATTATTTTTTTCAGATAAAAAACGATATTTGGTATGTCAGTATATTTCATAGTGGCTCATTAGCATATTTGGAAAACACATTTTTTTACGAATAATTTGTTACCACACGCTTGGTATTTCGAGTCAAATTGTTATGAACCGCATGTTACAGTTTTAAATAAACCATATGCGAAAATATCAAAACTTAACATATGATATGTCATTTATGAGTGTCATTTTCTATCGAATAGAGTAAAAAAAATCCTAGGATGCCATTTAAAAATCAAAAGTTGTAGTCATTTCTGTTAAAACAGGAATAGACCCACGACGCGCCCGGTATATTTTAACTAAAAATGTAAACTCATAAAGGTATATAAAGATACAAAAATATTTTATGTTATTACATATGACAATTTCACCAATTGCTCCAATTAAAGGTTCTTCAAAACGATATCAAAATAATCAATTTACTGCATTAACAATCGTAACAAATCGTAATATGTAATTATTTCGGCTTGTAAATTATTTCCCAGTACCAAATTACTCCATTTTGTATTAAATCTATGGCCCGAAACCGCGTATCGGTGCAACACATTTCGTTTACTGGTACGCAGCCAAAAATATGTTCCGTTGTGTTTTATGGCTACGAACGCCATACTAGCCACGAACATTTATCGAACCATTCTTAGAAATAGCTTTTATTACGGAGGAACAATTCTGTATTGCGTAAATATAGAACAATTTTTTCTTAATCAGGTGACAGCAGGTTATAAAAGATCGATAACGACTTTTTAATTAGCCTATAAAATTCAAATGAAATTAAAACGACTTCCTATAGTCAATATAAAGAAAAACAAACCGTGTGTATTATTGATAATTAATTTCAAATTGTGTTTTGTACGGAATTTTGCCATGTAAGTTTTCAAGTTTTAAACATCCTCTACACTATGCGGAGAACTCTTCGAAATAGGTCAAGGTCGCGTTTCGATTTATTTCCAGTTGTCTTCACAGTTGTCCCACTTCGATTTGCATCGACCTACTTTCCAAAACGTGGCGGTATCTGTACCCGAGGCAAAGGACTTTTTTCATAAATCTCAGTGAAATAAGTAAACCTAGACGTGTCTAGTAAGTAATACTGGCAACATCATCAATATGAGCTGATTGGGAAAATTATTGATTTACCCGATGTCAATAAAAGATCCCCTCCTCCTTCCTATACCCTATAAGAGTATGGTGACATTATGATATCGCATTTATGGTGTCTCTCCATGTTGTTCTGTCTTGCTCAGTAGTACTGGCCTCGTGCAGACTATGACCTATTATTGTCTTCATTTGGTCCACCCAACGGTTTGGAGATCTCCCTCTAGGACGTTTCCCGTTCACTTTTCCCTCCACAATTAGTTTTTCTAGGCCATTGGTATTCCTGGATACGTGGCCAAAGTATCTTAAGTGTATCTATTGATATCGACAGTCTAGATTCTATATTCAGTTGTTCTAGTATTGAAATATTTGTACGGTATTTGCAGCATCCGTCTATAATACCACATTTCAAAAGCATCGATTTTACGTTTCATTGCCAACTTCAATGTCCAGGTCTCTGAGGCATAAGTGGCAATGGGGAAAATTAGGGCTCTTAGTAGACTGAGTTTGTTGCTAATTGAAATCAAGCTTTCTTTGATATCAAGGGGCCGAGATATATATTGATCTACAACTTCGAAACTGCAATTTCTGTTGTATTCGTGGGTTCTCGATCAATAATCATTAATTTTGTTTTTCTTTTATTTAGTTTTAACCCATATATCTCGCTAACCACCTCTAATTTGTGCATAATGGATTTTAATTCATTAGCGGAGGATGCGAGTATAAGTGTATCATCTGTGCACCTTAAATTTGTTATTTGTTTACCGCCTATAGTGTTACCGCCGTTGTAGTCTTCCATAACTTCCCTCAATATAGATTCGCCACATATATTGAAGAGTAAGGGAGATAAAATGCTTTCCTGGCGCACTCCCGCTTCCAAGTCAAATGCAGAGAAAAAAAAAGAGTGAATGGTGTTATTTACTCTTACTTTTTTTCTGCTGTTCTCTTACAGACCTCGGATCTGCTGGATAAGGTGTTGAGGGATTCCCATGTTTTCTAGTACAGACGAAAATTTGCTCCACTTAATCAAATGCTTTGCTGTAGTCCACGAAACACAGATGAGTCCGGATGTAAAAAGAGTACATTCTACAGAGCCTGTTTTATAGTTACAAGAAATAACTTAACTTTAACTAGATCAAAATTATGAAACTTTTAATAACCAGGTGAACATTTTAACAAATATCATTATTGTTATCATTCTAGCCATCAAACAGAGTTTTGTTGAAGAAAGAACAGATTCTATCAAGCCGAATATGTCTTAAATCACTAGCTTCTAGATATCTATCTCCCAGACATAGTAGTCTGCTCTTACCAAGTACATCACTTTCATCACACAATGCGTATCGTCCTGACTCACTGTCTTCAATACAAAATACTCCAGCTGATCAACCAGCTCAATTTCATGTAGATGATAATTGATCTTCTAGCTTTGTAAGAAATACGATGACACCTACGATGATTATTAGCTCTGGTAAGTTGCAGAAAGTTCTGAACCTCGGATGTGCTGTTATTAGAGCTGTAACACATATTTCTGTCTGAGTTATATCTGTCTTTGTCCTATAGTAAGAACTGGTTATCAACTCATCCTTTTCTATCTGGCTTTACAGATAATCTTCAAATTCTAGTGCCAGGTTATGGTAAAATGGGCTTTGATTGTTTCTTCTCTTTGTCTACCATCATCATTTACAACGAATTAGCTTTGGAGTCGATTCATTTTTTTATATTATTTGTGTTGTTCAAATCATTATTAGTCATATCAATTTACTTTGAACAAATATTTTTACAAACATAGTCGATCTTTATCTACTTTTTGACAGCCGATGAGAGCTGTCTCTAATTTTATTTCTAAAGTAGATTCTTTTTCTGTAATTTTTTTATGCCATTTGTCGAAATCATATGATCTTACACAAGGCACGTTATATCTTTGAACGCGAGTGATTGTAGGGATATCCCTAGTAGAGCTTGCTTGGAAATGCATTAGATAATTACTATACAGGGTGGTCCAAATTGTATTCCGGAAACTTCGGCAGCATATTCTGCAAATAAAAATAAGTAAAAAAAATTGTTTAAATGTATGTTCTAAAATGCTTGGTTTCGAAGCTACTACAGGGTGTAGAACTTTCATTTTTATTTCGATTTTTTCCAAATAATTTCTGAAGTAACGTCAATACCATTTGGATGAAAATTGGTGTCTGGGAGTTTTTTAATATGAGAAATTTGATTTTGATGCCAATTTGACTCCTAGTTACAGAGAGCCACCTACATGTGTTTTAACTGTTTTTCAGAGCAATAACTTTTCGTCCGCACATCTATAAAACTACTGAGTGTACTCTGAGCTACAACTGTTCTCAAGATATTTAGAATGGAAATAGTTAATACATATCGTTATTGATAAAAAATAAATATGTTGAGTAGATAATTATTTGACTGAAATAATAAATTTGGGAACTTTTTATTTTTTATATTAATCATAAATTTTTCTTCGAAAAAATAACGAAAAACAGTTTTTGTTGAACTTTTGGCACAAACACATTTCAAAATTATGATTTCAGTCTAATAACTATTTAGTCAGCATCTTTAATTTATGTCAATGATGACAGGTATTGATAATTTTGGTTCCAAATACATATCTCAAGAACCATTAGTCGTAGCGATTTTTGCCAAGAGACCTTTTTTACGTAAAAAACGTCGTAAATTTATATGTTTTTACCTAGTAGTTTTATACAGGTACGAACGAAAAGTTACTCTTCAAAAAAGTTAAAGCACATGTAGGTGGCGCCCCCAACAAGTAGCAGGAATATTGACATCAAAATCCAAATTTCTCATATCGAAAAGCTCCCAGACACCAATTTTCATAGAAATATTGACTGTACTACACCCTGTATCTCTGTAACTAAGCATTTTAGGACATACATTTACAAGAACTTTTTTACTTATTTTTATCTGCAGAATATGCTGCCGAAATTTCCGGAATACAGCTCGGACCACCCTGTATAGATTCGATAATTTTTAAGAGCCAGGAAAATTGTTGGTAGCACATGGTATTTATGAAACTACTGCCATACTCTTATAAGAAATACATGTAATCAAATGATCACATTGTATGATATTATATGTTCAAAAATTTCTACATCAAATATCGGTATATAAAATTAAATAAATACATACAGGGCGAGTCTTAAATAAGTTCAAATATTTTCAATGTTGGTAGATCTCGATAAAAGAAACATATTTTCTCTTTACCTTTTTTCAAATAAATCCAAAATAACCCGGTTATTTTACTTTGAAAATTTCCATAAAAGGTGATTTTTTGTTAAAATTTTGAGAACCACTTTTTTGGTTTTCTTTCTTGTAAATTTAATCTACTACCTATGTTGCCATATTATCAAGAAATTATGTTTTTTAACTAACAACTAAAAAAAATTTTAAATTTTGAAAAAAAAAATTCCCGAAAAAAAGCTCATGATCGTGTTTCTGGGGTCGACATATACTACCCCTAAAAGTATTTACACTTATTTAGGACTCACCCTGTATATGTTTTTAATAAAAATAAATATTTTTCTGTGTGGGGTTTTCGAGGAGATTTTTATTTAACTTTTCGTATAACCCACGTTGATTTTCTCGAACAGTTGCTACAATTAAAGATAGTCGTTGATCGTCCGTTCCAGGAAACATTCGCCCGGTGTTGCGGACTCGGCCTACAACGCGCTAAGCCTCAAAGACATTACTCAACCCTCCTGAAGAACGGACGAAACGGCAACGAGTCCACGGACTCCGCCAGGGACGACACCGTCCACACCAACACCACCCTGACGCACAAGAACTCCAACGATTCCTTCGGTGGATCTGTGAGGTGAGTAACGACTTTGACTGATTTTGATGTTATTACAAATTTTGTTGCAAATATTATTCCTAATCTTAATTTGAAAACCGCGTTTCGCTAGCTACTGTAATTTTGGAGTTACGATTTTTTAAAATTTTTAACCCCCTCCCATATCCCCTTACCAACCCCCCACCCCCACCAAAAACTAATCGCCAGATTCTCGGGTGCCAAAGTATTTTTGTGCCAAATTTGGTTCAAATCGGTTCAGCGGTTTTTGAGTTATCGTGTTACAAACGGCAGACGGACAGTCGGACAGACAGACAGACACCATGAAAATATTTTGTATTTAGGTCATTTATGACCGAAATAACTCATTTTGAGTGAAATTAAAAAAACTTTTTTGCCGATTTTAATAGCCTACCATACCTATTGGTATGGTTGGCTAAAAAATTGATCATCGAGTAAAAATTTGCTTGAAAACAGGATATTTTCACATTTCGTGTAAGTATCAATTTTTCTATATCTGAAAATCTTCTGATGGGAAGAGATGCGGAAAAATGTATAATGACATATTTCTATATTACTATCTATTTCAAAGATTTTCTACAACTTTTTTTTAATTTAAAACAAGTTTAATTTTAACATTAATGTGTTTGTTTTGTAGTAATAATTGGTTAGGTGATTTTCATTGGATAACTAATAGATTGAACAACACATTGTACTAAATAATAAAATAACATATTTAAAATTCAATAAGTGCTAATAAATATTACAGAAATTTCAAAAGAAAAAAGAAGCAAGAACAATGAGAAATAGCATCACTACTTTCTCATAAAGGCCTCTGTTTCTCCAGTGAACATACTGGTTTTTCCTGATCCAGAGTTTTAGTGCACTACATTTAGGTATTCCCAGTACTGGCTCTGGACCAAGATAGGATGCCGATGATCCTTGCCTTGTACATTGTAAAGATTTGCTTTCATTTGATCTCTTTCTTTGATCTTTTTTCGTATTTTCTCATTACCGCTTTTGAACGGTCCCAGGGCCGAATTCTGGAACGCTAAGAAGAGAAAACTAGAAAACGCTAAGCGCTTTTAGACGCCCAGCGTATATGACGTTAATTTTCGCTTATCGCGCAGTTAAGTACCGATTTGGGTATTCTCATCTGACTCGTTTAGCGTCTTTACTGATTACGGTAAGCGATTTGAAAACTGCTACCTTAAAGGATCGTTTTGCTTGTCGAACTGTCAATAAAAATAGAAAAAATTGTGATTTTGTGCGTTCTCTTGCTCTTGAAAACTGCTACCTTAAAGGATCGTTTTGCTTGTCGAACTGTCAGTAAAAATAGAAAAAATTGTGATTTTGTGCGTTCTCTTGCTCTTGATTTGAAAACTGCTACCTTAAAGGATCGTTTTGCTTGTCGAACTGTCAGTAAAAATAGAAAAAATTGTGATTTTGTGCGTTCTCTTGCTCTTTAGTGAAAACTACTTCTTGTTCTATAAATTTCTCAATAAGTAACTGATAATTTACGATTTGGCAGCTATAAATATTTTTCAAAACATCGAAAATGCTGAGAAGCGTCTTCAACATTTCCCTCGTATAATAAGAATAATGACATCCATGGAAAATGGTTGACATAACTTAACAATAGATTATGAAATTCAAGTAACATTGACATTTTTCCTTGTTTTATTCGCATACCTGAGAAATTGCGATGCTGCCAATATGTGCTCAATACGTATCCAGAAAACGATTCGCAACGAGAATACCAAAATCAACTGCTTGGCGTTCCGCTAATCGAATACTTTCGCTTACCGTTTTGAAAGCGTAACGTTTTTATGTCTAAATTCCAGAATTCGCGCCCTGAACTGTTTATGAAAAATATATCAGTATAAATCACAGTTTATAGGTTCATTGTATTCTATATTTACGCAAAATGAACAACATGTTTGAAAACAACTTTTTGTTAGGATAAAAAAGGTTCAAAAATACCTACCTTTTAAATCGTTTGAAAAATATTTAAAAGCTTTTTTTCAAATGCTTCGGGTGTAAATACGCGACTAAGCAACAAGTGATGTAAAAAACAAATTAACAAACCTGATAAGTGAAAACAAAAACCTTTTTACGCGTCCAAAAATGAACAGGTTGTAAAAAATCTGTCACTTAAAAACTCTTTTTTGTCTGATTTAAGTCTGGATTTAATGTATATTTTTAAATCAAATTTAACTTTTCTTTTCATAAGAAATTATTTAGAATTATCTTTGTTTGTAAATATATCTTACGCTTCTCTCTCCACATTTTAACTTTCCTTATTTTTTATTCTTTAGTGATATAAATTTAATAATACCTAAATTAGATGAAATAAATAATTTATTAATTTCATTTTTAATTTTATTAATTATTGTGATTGATAAAATTAAATCGACAAAATAAGATACAACCGTTTATGAAAGAATTGGAAGGATAGGCAACTTAATGGGCAAATTCGTGACTAGGCTGATTTGATTTCCCCTACGTCTCAAGTGTCGTACAGTGGAGCCTCTACTCGTTCTGCAGCCAATGCATAAAACACTCATTTTCTCTAATTCGGCTAGAGAAGACATATCGAAGACGGTGTGGAACTGAAAGCGACAGTGTTGCCATATTAAAACGTGTAACATCTGTAATACGTTTGACGAAAATACCTTTATTTTTTTTTAAATAAACAACAAAAGCAAAAATTCTTTTATAGGTACTGAATATTTTGTATGATCTGAAAAAGTCGTTTAGTTGGCTTGGAAATGACGACTATTGATATTTACCCATAAAATAACAGTAATCTTCATTTTCAAGCAAACTCTGACGCCGTTCTTTGTTTAATCACATAATAGTACATTAAATTGTTTAATTATAGAAAATCCATATTATTAACGTACTGTACCTAAAATCCGTAAATCTACGGATTAATCCCTAGTTCTGGCAACACTGTCTCCGACAACCATTCACTCTGTCGACTGAAAGTAGAACTACGGTACAGTATTCTTTATCCACTACGCTGTAAAGGACTATCAACGCGCAGCGGCGCAGAGCTAAACTAAATCTGGGACATGTAACGGTAATGCCAACTACTTTTCGGACATGTTTTGAGTCACAAAATCGTCCATAAGGTTGCGCATCTTCTTATTTCTTTAATCAACGATACAATTTTTAATCGGCATTAAACGGTCTACTGAATTTTGCTAACAAGAGAAAATAAAGCCAGTGGCGCGCATGTTTTTTTTTAGAAAAAATTTCAAGTGATATCTCATCTGCACGTCCCTGGTAAATCTGTCGACACTTTTTATAATTAAAATATGTAGCACTTACAATAACCACTAATCACTAAAAGCACTTAAAATAAAATTATAATAAATCGAAGACTCTAACCTCCTGTAACTACGAATCAAAGCAGAATCGGACCTATGTTGATATAAAAAATAAATTATTTTTATCTCTTTGCGAGAGATAGCACATGTTTTTGTATTTACCCTGTATTTTCAAATTATTTGGTATTAAAAAATTCAGTTTTAAAATTTTTAAAAGCAATTATATTGTTTTGTGTATTTCACTGAAAATCAGATCCCCATAATATCAAATAACAAAGTACACAGTATTACTTTTTTAAAAATATAACATTTTCAACTTGTTTTGTCAAAAAGTTTGTTTTCACTTTACAGATTTTATATTTTTTATTTATTTATTTCTTTTTGCCGGGGTTTATTGTAAAAATTGTAAATATTTTTGCCAAATCTTCCTTGATGCTTGTTGTCATGAAGCGAAATTTTTCAAGAATCAAAATTATGAAGCAGAAAATTAAAAAAAAATCGTTTTGTAAATGTTGACAATGGCAAATTGTTATATTATTCTTTTTCAAAAAATTGTTCCGCTGTTTTAAGCAAATATTTTCTGCTCTCTGGGGCACCATTATTATTTTTATTAATCTCACGATCTTGAAGAGTTAATACAGTGTGTTTATAAAATAGAGGCCAAGTATTGCAAGAGGACCTGGAAGAACATGATTAGAGATCGAAATACTGAAGAATATTTGGGTTTTGTAATTAAAATATCAAACAGATAGTTATTTTTTATACAAGACGACCGAAAAGAATTAATTTCGGGACACGATAATGCAATTTTATCGTCTTGTATAAAACAATATTTTTTCCATAGCGAGTTACGTTTAGAAAATATTCAGAAATTATTATTTCAAGGAATTTATTACGAGTAGAAAAAATATTATGCTGGGTTGGCGTTGGTTTCTATGTAATTTGACAAATAAACAAAGCTGTCTTTTTAGTTGTCAGTTTTGAGTCAATATTTTTTAAGTCTCTTTCGTGTCGATTGCTGATGAATTGAAGCCAGAAATGGCTCAAAACGAAATAAGTAAATTACCAACAGATATTCAGGCTGAGGCGACCAAACGCCATATATCCAAACTACTTCCATTTAAATCCCGAATAACTTATGAAAAGGAATACAAAATTTTTCAAAAATGGAAGCAATTAAAAAACGTGTGAGAAGAAATAAAGTTTTTAACCTATCCTCGCTGTTAAAGTATCATTTAATCTACCCTTGAGGTTAAAGTACTATTTTAACAACTGTTTTTGATAGATATAAGGCAGTTTTAACAGTTGCCATGGAAAAAAGAAAATAAAACCTTATTTTTATTATATAAAAACAATTTTTAGTAGTTTAAAAATAGATATCTCACTTCATTTTATAATATTATTGAAGAAAATCACCTGGGTGTCGAACAAAGTAATAGTTGTTTTATTTGAAGTAACTTTATTTTGCTTCATGCTTAAAATAAAGTTGTGTCACTTCATGCTTAAAACAAAGTTTGTTCTTGTAAGTAAGTTTAAGCCTTAAAACTGTCTTTATACTTTTCTTTGGAAGAAAACTTTTTGTTTAAAATTTGACAATGTTAAGTAAGTCTCAAGTCTCTACGTCCTACCTATTATACAGGTAGTGTTGTTGTTAATAGAAATACAGGGTGTCCCGGTATTCCGTAGATA